TTACCGATCGGTGGTATTTATCAAAACGAGAACGGCATTGTAAATTTAGATAGCGTCGAAGGACCGGGTACTCATTGGGTAGCGTACGCAAAGAGGGGGAGAATCGCGTCGTATATTTCGACAGTTTCGGCAATCTTCGACCACCCAAGGAACTTGTGCGATATTTCGGGCAAAACGTAACGAAGATACAGTACAATCACACGCCTGTTCAAACTTACGATCAAAGTATCTGCGGACAATTGTGCTTGCAATTTCTTCGAACGGTCGATGCGCGCGAATTTAAAGACGGATATCACGCTATTTAACTCAGTATTCGTTCAACAGTTTTGTCGACATGTCTATGACATTCACGTTGACTGCGAAGAGTAGCGTTCTCGCGGCAAACTTCTTTCCCACTGTAGACTTGAGCGACGATGAATATGAACTCGGTCTAACGGATTTTGAGACTTATCACACGATACCAAACGTGAATTCTTCGAATAATAAATTTTACTTTGGCAAAGACGACGCGGAAATTACGATTCCCGAGGGATCGTACGAGTTGCGAGATATACATGAATTTTTGAAACGTGCAATTTCACGGAAACATCTCGATAAGAAACACATTGACGGCGATGACTACAAAGATGGCAAATATCCGATAGTGCTCCGCGCTAATTACAATACGATGAGAAGCGAGATCAAATGCGCATACAGATTAAACTTTAGCAAACCCGACAACATTGGATCGCTGCTAGGATTCTCAAATCGTATTCTCGAGCCGGGAAAATGGTACGAATCGAACGTGCTGATTAACATTATCAACGTTAATATTATCCGCGTAGAATGTAACGTGACCGCGGGCGCGTACAACAACGTTCAAACTCGTTCATACGATACACGTACAAACTCGTTCATACGATACACGAATTTTCACCGAGGGTACCGCCGAGATATAAGATATCGGAAACGCCGGCGCAGATCATTTACCTGCCGATCATCGCGCGGAGCATTACGGATTTAACGTTACGCGTTGTCGACCAGAACGGACGATTACTCGATTTTTGAGGAGAAGAGATCACCGTAAGATTGCACGTACGACGGCTGCGGGATAACGTACGTACGTATGCGACGTATGAGATGCTCGTGTTGAACGGATCGAAAGACGTGAGAGATAACGCAATCTTTACGAAATCAGCGACACCAATAACATCAACGTCGACGTTCGCTGATATCCAATCATCCGAGAAAAAGAAACTCAGCGCATCGAACGTTGCGTTTTTGCAATCTTTGGGATTCGCGGTGCGAAACAGCTGAACGATGACAGACATTCTCAACATCGGTGACGAACCTATCTTTGACGTATCGTCAAGGTCGAGACTCACACGTACAACCCGTTCGCCAATACAACTTTCGGACACAATGACGAGATAAGAATACCCATACAACAACAGGATCTGTATACGCTGCCGCACGAGAGTTTCCTATACATCGAGGGACAACTAACGAAACACAGACCAGCAGCGAAGGAGAAATTGAATTGGCACTGGGAAATAATTGCGTCGCATTCATGTTCGACGAGATTCGATACGAACTCGACGGCGTTGAGATTGATCGCAATAGAAACGTAGGAATAACTACTACGCTCAAAAACTATGTAACGGTATCATCCGATAGAAGCGTGATTATGAAAAACGCCGGCTGGGAACCGTCGACCAACGCGAATGGACATTTCAATTTTTGCGTACCGCTCTACATGTTGCTGGGATTTTGCGAGGATTACAGACGCATGGTGATTAACGCTCGTCACGAATTGATCTTGATACGATCGCGCAACGACGACAATTGTCTGTTTGGAAATTCGGCGCAGGAGCCTGAGCTCAACATATTCAAGATACAATGGCGAATGCCTCACGTGCTGTTGAGCGAAATCAAAAAGTTGTCGATGCTCCGTGCTCTGGAAAGCGGACGATATCTCAGCATGGCTTTTCGCTCGTGGGATCTGTACGAGTATCCGCTATTGCAGCTTACAACCAAGCATTCGTGGGCCATTAGACCGCGACTCAGCTGGAGAAACCACGATACGTCGTTTTCGCTCTGCAGACAGGTCGGAAGAATGTCATGTTTAAGGATGCGAGTGATTCGACCACTGCAAATTGATCAACGATAAACTTTATCTGAATTCGGAATATTATCCGTACGACGATATGAATCTGGATTTCGATAAAAACAAATATTCCATTCTGTACGACACGTATATGCGCTTCTGCAAGAATTATTACAGATACGAGTATCTCGAGCCGAGTCTCTCCGTCGGGATGTTTCAACTTTACGGTCCGTTCGTAATTATCGATTGTTCTCGACAAAACGAATCGGTCAAGAGCGCGACCGTAGATGTGAGATTGGAATTCGAGTGTAAGGAGAACGTGCCGCCGAATACCACTGCGTACTGTCTCATCATACACGATCGCGTGATCCAGTACAATCCGTTGACCAACGTTGTACGCAAAATCACCTAAGTGTTTGCGATAACATCGACGCAAGAGAGAGGGGGAAGAGGAGCATGATATAAATCAAAGTCTTGCGAGATGGTTTTAGAGTTTTGCCGTTCCTCTCGACTGGCGTATCGAAGAGAGAGAGAGAGATCTCGTCATGTCCGTACCAACGTTTGTGGATCTGCAAGGATTTATCGTTGGGAAAAATTTTGTCGTGAAGGAAGCGGCAGTCTTGAGAAAGGGATACGTTCTATCGCATTACTTTTTCGCAAGTCCCGTACCGTGGCACACGCTTACAAAATCTGAGCGATGTCAAGTCTCATGGCTGATTAGAAATCATCACGGATTACAATGGGAAGACGGAAACGTTCCGTATGGCTTGGCTCAGCGTGCGATTACAACAGCTGTCGTTGGTACGATACACGAAGAAGAAGAATCGTCCATTGTGTACGTCAAAGGACTTGAAAAGCGAAAATGGCTGGCCGATATACTAGACGATGCGGGGAACGGCTGTATTATTGAAACCTTGGATGCGGATTACGAAGATATCGATGCTCTAAATAAATTAGACGATACGAATAGTATGCGATGTGGAAAACATGTTAAGAATTGCGCCTTACAAAATGTATTCAAAATATTTAACTGGTGGTCGCGGCTCCAGAAAGAATTGCGATAAAAATAAAATATGTAAACATTCATATGCGTTATCTCTTTTATTTCCCCACCCTAATCCTTTGCATGCGTTTCTAACAATTCTTTTGTTCGAGCACCGCCTCCCCCTTCTCCTAAATTCCAATGCGTTAGAAACATTGATCCCCCACCACTACATTATATTTTTAATAAATGAGCGTCGGGTATAATCGATTAATTCCTGTACGACCAGTGCCGCGTTAACCGCTCGTGGATTCACTTTTCATAACCTCCCAGAAAAATGTACTACGTTGAAAGAAGCAGCAGCGGTAGCAGCAGTGGCGGTATCGGAAGACACGTGAATAATTACGTGCCGAGTCGTGATAAAACTCCATCGTTTGAGAACAAATACGACGAGTAAGTTTCGTTTAACATTTTTTTTTATTTTTCTATTTTTTACAAATTGTATTATTAGTATTACTTAATTTTAATTTTTTCCCGTAGCATTTCGTCGGAGCGTCGCGCGGTTCGTATACTAGGCAGACGATACGCATTGACAGCTACGGAATTCAAATTCCTCGAAATCTGTATCAACGTGGGTCCGCCGAGTTACGTGGAGATTATCATAGGAGATCATCGGGGAAAGGGACTGATATTATCTCTCGAAACATGGAAGGGACTCTGCGAGCAACGTCGCGATATTCTAAATCTCCTTCGGAACGACTCTCACGACATGTATAATTTTATAAGCGTTGGACCGCTAACAGTGCGAGTTCGTACGATTAACGACGCTAAACTCATAAGTCTCGAATCTTCGAACGTATGCATGATGATGGTAGAATCGACGTTACATCGTATGTTCGATCTCGATCAATGCATAGATGTAACTTTTGATCGATTAGATAAAATTATCCAAACAGTCGATGTCAAATTTACGCAATTCTCCAATATCGCGTCCGCTGTAACGGATCTTAAAGAAGTATCAAATGTAATACGCGCGAGTGACGCTTTCAACAAGCATCAACTCGTCGATTGCGAGCTGGTGGCTTTAGCTTTTAGTCCATATAATACGTAAGACAAAAAAATATGTAAAAACATGAATAAAGAGTTTTAAGTTTACTATATCGTGGTGTACTTTTTTCTGCGTTTGCTTGCATTTATAAAAAGGTTGAACATCGGCGCTGATACGTTAAAAATTCTTCCGAGAAAAAATTGCGGAAGACGATTCTGGGAGGTGTCATTTGTTTATATTGTTTATAAATGTGCATGCTGGGTAATCCAATGCGAGAGAGATAAGGATACGTCGAACGGGGAAAAAATCTAGAATTACTTATATCGGGGGTGAGGGATGTACCGCGAAAGCAAGGGTGCAATTCTTCCGAGAAAAAATTATGGAGGACGATTCTGGGAGGTGCTATTTGTTTATATTGTTTATAAATGTGCATGCTGTGTAATTCAATGAGAGAGAGACAAGGATACGTTGAACGGAAAAAAATCTAGAGTTACTTATATCGGGGGTGAGGGAGTGGGGGTGGGGGTGGGTACCTATATTGGAGGCGAGGGGGTGGGGTGGGGGTGGGGTGTACCGCGAGAGCCATTTTGTTTTGCAAAAACATGTTCCAACGCGTTAGGATATATAATACAATATTGCTTAAGGAGTACCGCTGTTTATATTGTTTATAAATATTTTATCAATCGGGCATGTAATACAATATTGCCGTAAAACATCTAACACGCGCCGCCGTCGAAATCCCCTCCGTCCCGCGTGACGTCATTTCCCCGCGCCTCCGTAATCCCCCGCGCGCCTCACTCCCCCTGAGAGGACCTGAGTTAGAACCCGCCTTATATACCTACTCAAGTAATATTTTATACTGTATCAAATTGATCAATACTAATATGACGCATCTTAAGAAACATAAGCTGATCTATAGCACGTACGAGTATTGGGCGGAAAAACAAGTCTTACCAGAATTCAGTGTCAAGTTGGGATTGATCGAACCAGTCCGATATGCCTTTCTTCTCTTCATGGATCGAATCGAATCGGTCCAATATTAATCGACTGATTGACAACTTTCGAAGAATTGTTCGGTTTTTCGTGTACTTACCGAAAAAGGCATTTTAATTCGGAAAGAAAGCTTTACATCGTAAATAATGCGTTGTTAGGAACTAATATATTCATCTATAAATGAGCAAAACAATATTTTGTTTGTGAAAATAATTTCTATACTTATTTTGTAAATAAGAGGAATTTCAACTTGTGCTGATTTAAATTTTTATTAAATTTCTGTTAAAGGAAATGTGATAAATTCCCTATATTTTATTATAGAAATTATAAAATGTAAAAAATTAGTAGTTTTAATTTTCTCTCTTTAACATTTCCTTTTAATGATTTTTTTTCTTGAATCATCTAATGAATCCTTAATTTTCCGGTATCTTTTCTGAAATCACTTGTATAATTTTTTATTAAAGTTGATTTTATGGAGATACACAGAAAAATGATTCCCTAAAAAGAAAGTATTTTCAAATTATAGAAATAGGAATCAAATTAAATTACATTGAAAATAGTAACTTTATAAATATTAAAAACGGATTATATCTTAGTATTATTTGGCTGTATATCTAGAAAAAGTAAGAATGACAGTTGATCGGTGGAACATGCGATCCATGCGCAAAATGATCGATGAAGATATCTCCTCCATATTGGAATTGATATTGATAAAAATGGTAAAGAATGACGAATTTCTTATCATTCGTCATCAATGTCATCTCACAATCAGATATATGTGCATCGCTATGAGCACTAGAAGGCAATCTCAGACGAGAGAAAACGCGCGATCTTACATTTAATTCTTTTATAATTGGCCATGTGTCGCATATTATGCCACTTTTTAATTTATATTTTAACGTGGAATAATATTTCTTATCTTCTCTCAATCGTCTCTCGTTTCGAAAATGTTAATTGCTTTTCATATGGTCAAAAGTTAATTAGTTTACGCAAATCCTCCCCTATGAAAAATAAATTTAACATAAACTGATCGTATACTTATCAAGATATGACAAAATTTCAAAAATAAAGTTGATTCAAAGTAAACTTTTGTAATTAAAATTACGTTTCGAAAAAGCTTAACTTGTTTATAATTATGTAATCTAACTTACATCTCTTCTTTAACCCTTGCTTTTTATTTTTTAAATTTCTGATTACTGACTTTTGATTCGTTTAATTTTATACATCGATTTTAAAAAATTTATAGGAAGAATCTGTTTATTTTTTTTTGTAAAAAAGTTATGAGAAAAGCATATAATTAGAATAATTTTTAACGACAGATTTTTGTTTAGATATTATGTTTAACTCTTTGCGGATTTAATTATCTAATTTCAGCGCATTCCAGAAACATCCGCTTGCGGGGGGTATCGGATTAGGTGGTAGAGGAAATGCCGGCGTTGATGGAAATGGCGGCAATTTAGGTGTCGATGGTGATTGCGGCGATGCGCTCAAGAGACGTAAGGTTCACAGATGCGATGTCGCCGGCTGCGACAAGGTTTACACGAAGAGTTCGCATCTCAAGGCGCACAAGAGGACCCACACTGGTAAGTTTATCTTATTTGAGCAAATAATTTCGATATTTTTCGAATCAATCGACATATATCGCAAGAAATGTTCGTACATATAATGTGCAAAATTTAAAAATATATCTTCAAGCAAAAGAGATATTGTGTTAAATACGCACTGGAGGGAAAAAAAGAGAAAAAAAAAGTTAAATTATATGCATAGAAATTACACAAACATTGTGTCATAAATCTCTCGATTCCTATGCACGGTTAGAAACTATGGAATTTATTGAAACTCTGAATTGGGAAAACCAATCAAGATCAAATACATCGATCGATTGAAAGAAACCAACTTGTTACAATCTCAATGATCGTTATGCATGATCGTGAGTCACGCACGTGCGGCAGCAATCATTGGAATAATCGCGTCTCCATCGACCCTTCTCTCGCTTCGCATATGTGGTTTCGTTGCTGACGCTATTGTTTCAATGATAGCAGAATATGTGAAATCAGCGAACGCGTAATATCTGATAGGTAAGCTGACAGAAAAGAATTTAATTATGAGGGCAAACTCTTATTGTCACATCGCGATTATACAGACAAGATAGGATCTTGTTCAGCGAAATAGCGTGATTCGAGCGGACGTGGAAATCGCTTCTTCTTCTCGTACGAGAGGAGGAAGCTTCGGTTACGTGTAGATTGGAGCCATTATCTTCGTCTTCCCACGTTAAATCGACGCGACGCTTGCAACCTCACTACCAAATATCGCCGTGAGATCCTCCGATAATAATAATAATAATGTTTAACCCGAGCGTATGACCGGTAGTTAACGACTTGTCGCCCGATCGGGTCAAGTGCTCGACGGTAAACCATTAGTCATCGGGCATTCCTTTAATTTCTACGAGACCGATTTCCGCGCTTCTCTCGAACGAGATGTTTGAACGCGACATATAATCACTAGTTGCTCTCTGTGAGATTTAAGAATGGTGGATTCGATGAAAGAATTTTGAAGAGATGATTGATTTTTCTCTCTTTTGCGATTTTATTTACGGGGAGGATCTTTAACTTTTATGGAACGGCTAATTAATGAGAATCACATGTTTCCTCGCATGCTTTACGAATTTACATCAGACTCGAACACGCGACTCTTCTCTTCTCTCTCTTTCTCTTTTGAAGGATAACAGATAAGAGGCACACATCAGCCGTGTTATTCTCCGCCAAGATTTTTCGCGCGCGTGATTCGCGGCCCGTCGCGGTCAAGGATCGTCGACTTCCGCACGCTAGGATTCACGACCGTAGAGCCTCGCGGAAATTCGATACCGTTCCGTAGCGTCGCCTTGGAGATGCCTTCTGTCCAGCAGGAGAGAAAACTCGCACTTTTATCCGCTTTCGTACGGGCGCTCTCGCGTATAGATCCAAGCTCCGGCCATTTATTACCGCGTCACGAGAACTTGGAAGAGATCGCGCCGTTCCATTCCGTGTGCATACACGACGCGGCGCGGTGGTTGCTTCAGGAATTTCCGGTGGATAGGACCTTCGTGAAGGCATCGCCGCCGCCGTCTGGAGAAGGCAGCGGCAGCGGGGAGAGGGCGTGGTCGTGAGAACCAGGATCTTTTGTCTGGTCCATGGTTCAACCGAGACGCAGCACGATCGCGGTGCTCAACCCAGAAATAGCTCGATATGGAGAAACCCTGAAGCCTTTTTCCATAATATCATTATCGGAGTTTATATGTCATATTTTATATCCGAAAAGTTTTTTTTTTAATGAGATAAATAAAATTGTTATCTTTTTATTAATAACATACGCGATCCATAACACATCAATTTTGTAATGTTATATTTTAAATTAATTAGAATTTATCTCTGCATTATTAAAAATTTTTAATAACTCGATATAATTATGATACTTTTAAAATTCTATTATTTTTCATTTTTTAAATTTATTTTGACAAATCAATCACATTTAGCGCTGAGTATACATATTGGAATGTTGATTTTAATTATTTGCATATACGAAAGATATGCGTGTCATCTTGATTAGCATTTTCTCCGATCACTCCGAGATCTCAAAGAGAGAAACTAGCTTGCTCGAAGTTTGCAAAGATCGGAACATGCTTCGCGCATTATGCCATTATGATGGACGTTTTACGAAATTCCCAGTTTGCAATGATCGGCTGGCAAACGAAAGACCATTATTTGACGTACAACTCGCGATTGTGTACTTGGCTTCGACTAATTGTTTCAACGATCGGTATAACACCGGTTTCTAGTGGCAAACCGCCGTCTATCCGTCATTCTAACACTACGGCCATCGAGATACCCTTACTGAGGTGGATACCGTCTGAATGTGGGAAATACCAATTCATTGATTACCGTCATTTCTACCATTCTGCGCTGTAACTCGCTCGCGCGATCATGACTGTCGTTGCGAAGCCGATGGGAGCGATCGTAAAATTGTGGAGAAATAACAGGCTTGTTAGTTCTCAACAACTTATAGTTTCAATATCATATTCCATTAGTTTTAAAATATTTTATAAATTATTTCTCATTACAATAATTTTTATTTTTATTTTCTATCAAAATATAATATTTAATTTTGATAATTATTCGCTATAAGATTCATAAATATTACTATCTGCCATAAAATATGCACTGCTCTGTCCATTGCATGTATATTTGCGTCATAGACTATTATGTTTACTTCATTAAAAAATCAGGCACGCGATATTTGCAAGTTCAGTTAAAAGTCGTAAGTTTAAATTATGACGTTTAGTACTTTTCAATAAAGCTGCGGAATAACGGGTCGAAAGATGAAATGCAATCAACAATATTAATTGTTTATGCATGTTGGACGTTGTTCATATTACGCGCCTCATTGACGATGTAACGGAACACAATAACAGACTAATATTACTTTTAATATCGACGAATAACAGTGTACCTGACACACGTTGTTGCGTGTAACGAGAGTTGCATTATAGGTAGAGAATCATAGCTCATTATGAGTGCACGGTAAATCGCCCTTGCACGATTATATGATGAGAGATGTTTCCTACGCCCATTAACGTATACATAAAATTTCTTATCTACCTGTGAGAAATCGCATAGCAACATGTATATCTACGGAATATCTCTAATTATCGCATTTCCCTCAACTGATTGTGAGTATGATTCTACATATAAGTTAAGGAATGCTAACCGTTTCTTTTAAAAGCATCATTATTTTCAACTTCAGAGTCAGAATTTTGATTGAATGAGTCGCGCGAGAGAATCCTTAAGAAGACAATTATAAGTCAGAGCGATATAAATTTAAATATATTTACAATTGATTATAGTTCATGCGAGTTGAGCAACACACTTATATTCCATAGAAACATAATAATGTATTCAGTTATTTTTTTCAAATCTTAATCTCTCTCTAAACAAATAATAAATTATAATAAAATCATTTATTCGTTTTCCTTTTACAGCATTAATCAATCATTTATCGAAATGCTATATATATATATATATATATATATATATATATATATATTTCGACATTATTATTACTGTTTTAATTTTTTAAATTTTGTTCCATTTATAAACTATCTATGTCTATAATTATTGTTATATTAAAGGCAAATTATTCGCAGTATTCTGTAGCAAGTAATTTGATGGTTCAAAGAAGATAAGGAACGGAAGCTGAGAATCACTGTGCATAACTATCAGAATATAAGCTCGGTGTCAGCCGATTGGCGTGATCCTTGATAGACAGGAGGTTTGCTGAGAGATCTCATGTATTAATTAAGGCGAATTAGCCTTGGCGTAAGCTGGACAACGTCCGCCGATCGGTTCCGTGTATCAAAGGATACGCCGATGATCACAAGCAGTTCGCTCTGTAGATTTCTCTACGAGTGGTAGTGCTTCAGGTACCCTGTTATTAACAATGCACTTATGCACTAATGCCGAAGGCTGCGATTACCTTCTCGGCTGGGTTAACGATTTCCTGACGAGCACGCTTCTCCGCATTGTTCTTCGTTGGTCGTTGCAAATCATCGTTTCTGTCTTTTCTACAAATAACTTCCCACAATCTTAGCTCACTTTTGCGTTCGATAGCACTCGTAATAATACTTTGGTTCCGCTTATTCGTTTGCAGTATGTAAACTTAGAAGAGTTGATTTAGTAATTGAATTGAGTTTGGAACATATGCAAAATAAAAGTCTATAAGCAAACTTCAAATAAGAAATTGAATATAAAATAAATATCATAAATTATGAATTTTTAGATACACGTACTAAATTTTTAAATCTTCCCTTTTTTTATTTTTTTAATAACTTTTAATTATTATTTATTGCATTAAAGAAGTAATCTCATATCATTGACGAGAGAAACAAATTCAATTGTGTGCCTAAAAATTAGATTATACGAAGTATATTATTTCAAGATGCATCAAAAACATTGAATTTTATTACGGTCTAAGATTGACATCATGTGAACGCTGCATATGAACGACATAGGGTTTATGTTTTTTTTTTCGAACTAGTCGAGAGAGCTGTTAGTTCGCTCCTCATTACTGGCACGCATCGTGTCGCTTAACTATGCGTCGGAGCAACTTTCTCACGTGATGTGATAATTATATGCTTCGCGCAGCAAATGTGTCGAAATGTACAGCTTCGTTAACTGATAGTCAAACGTTAGAATTGCGAAATGTACCGTGCACAAGCTGCCAATTTTACAGATTTAGCGATAATATCCACGGCTAATGTAGCCAACAATGTACATAATATGACATAAATAGTTCCATCTTTTTTATGAAGAAGATTAATGCAATTTGTGTATGAAAATAAATCCATGTTATGTGTGAAAATAAATCCATGTTATGTGTGTGTGTGTATACATTTATACGTACACATTTACTTTATCATTTCCTCCGACTTGTAACTTGTAATTAATACATCATAGGCAACATCTTATTTGTATATCATCGCAATACGATACAACACTGCTTTCGAAGTTTCGCTCTGCGTGACTCTAGTAGACTTGTGTTCCAAGATAAATAGTCCCATCTATCTCGCTATCTTGAAATGTAACAAAGAACGAGACACGCTATTACGCGATAATTAAACAATGTCTCCGCATGCAATGATAAATGAATCACGTGCATTTGCATCGCAAAAAAATGATATGCGGCGAGTTTAATAGTCGTGTGGCTTCATTAGAAAGTTATAAAATATGCACAAATGTAAGACGAAGAAATAATACTATCTATACCAGAATAAGAATTTGACACGAACGGAATTCAGTCGCGATTGATAAGTAATAAAATATAAGCAATTTTTATGCGAATCTCTTTATAATTTCAGTTATGTATTTTGGCTAGTTTTTTTTTTAGTAAAATCTTAAATTGGAAAAAAATTAAATTGAGAGGACATAGCTTCTGCAATTTAATTCTGCCTCATTAATTTTCAGAAATAAGGCATAAAAATGCTCAGAAAATAAAATTAATTAAGTAATCAGGAACAATTTGAATCTTTCGAAGGTATTTATTTCTTCAATTTTATATTTAACTCATTACACTTCGCTCTTTATACGTGGATGCACACGCGCTGTCGCAAATGAGAACGACGTCGCAAGTAAATGGCCAATCTCGCTCGAGTTATGATTAAGTAACTTGACGGGAAAGAAAGTAAAACACAAACGGAGGGAGGGATTAACGCGACGTTAATCTATGGAGCAATAAAACGCGAAAAAACGCGATCGAAATACATTAATAACGGAGATAAAACTAATGCGACGCTCGCCCATCGGTCGATATTACGTGCACCTCGTACGGGTTGTAAATGGACTAATTACTCACGATTACGCAACGCGTATACGCGCGCGCGCGCGATTTCCTTCGTAACGTCATTAGTCGTTCGCATATCCCCGGCGCGTTGCGCAATAATATTCCGCCCGATGGACGTCGGGACGTTAAAACGGCCGATTTAGATCTACGGCGCGGAGAGCGTGCCTTCGATCATCCGCGCCCCGCCGTTTTGCTCGGCACCGCTAAAGCTCGATCCTTTCCAGCCGCGCGGCAACCTGCCGTTCCCTTTGCGTCGCGTCTTTAATTACGGCCGGCTTTCAAGAACGTAGAGTATACCTCGTTAATTACCGTTCGGTAATTAGCCTCGCGGTACTGTCAAAAAGGTGGCGTTAATATTCCATAGTGACTGCCTTTCTTTTTCTCTCTCTCTTTCTTTCGCGATACTAGTTGTTACGGACAATGTAACGCTAACTATAATAACGATGCTAATCCATTTTCCGAGATTGTGAGTTGCGCGTTATTCCATTATTTTAGACAGAATGGGATAAATTGCGAGATGAAAGGGGAAGATGGAATGTTTGCGCAGAAGGAAATACCTCCACTTCCACGCGAAATCGCCGCGAGGATGTATCGAAAGCGTGATTTCTCATTAAAACGATCTCACGGTTATATCTCCCTCTTTGCGTGCGCATCGCTCAATAATTAAAACGTCCGATTTATAAAGATTAATCGTTCCTAATGCGTAATAATAAATGTGTGTGTTAACTCTGCCTCGTCTTGCGTTGGAGCAACTTGGCTCACGTCCCGCGACGCGATAATTGTTCCGCTTGTGCCTTAACACCGGCCATTTACAAGGGCAAATACCAAATTAAGGGTTAAGCGCCGCTTCCCGCTCCCCCGTCTTGATCCTCGCGATAATAACACTTCTTATCTTGACCCGCTGACTTACGATCCGCAATTAACTGAGGAGAAGCGCCGCTCTCGAAAGAATTCGCGGATGGACGCAAATATGTATGTCGATTAAACGGTCGCGATGTTCCATCTCCAGATCAGATTTAAAGAGACGACGCGTCATCGTCTTCGTCGCTCGATTCAAGATTATTATTCGATCTAGATTTAATGGGATCGCGAAATCTACCACCTGATCATAACGGATTGATTCGCCGTCCGTTTTCGACTCGACAGTTGCACGAAGAGATTGAACTTGATGGCGATTATTTGCCGAACCGTTTCCACAATCATCTGGATGAAAACGATTCCTCACTTCTGTTTCGACTTTTTGTGGAGGATTGATAGTTTCGTAGCGTGACGTGGCGTACAATGAGATTATGAGATCGAAATTATTTTAATGATAAATAAATTGATACAATTGTATATCGAGAAATTTAAATTGATTTTTTATTTAGATTATCAGATTTTGTGGAATTCAAAGTTAATGTTTAACTGAATATTTTACTTTTGATTCAAACGTTGAAGCTATTTTTACACACATTTTATATCATATTTTTAAATCGCATAACGCAATCTAGTTATTCTACTAACTATTATTTCCGAAAGAAATAAACATGTATAAAGATATGCAGATATATTAATATTACATACTGGTGTACTTGTGTAAATTATTATTTATACATTTACTTTTTATACAATAATATATATAATTAGTCTTGTTCAACATCTGTTTGCCAAAAGTCATCGGGTGGTGGAATCATCATGAACCACAATATTTTTTAGTGCATTCCCAAATGCCATTACCACAGAAGCAGTTGTTACATCCATCAAAATAATTTTCACCTTGTACGCATTCTCGTTCCTCCTCTATGTAAACAATGAGAACTTTTAAGTATAAAAATATAAAGTTGATTAATTAATGGATAATACACGGAGAAAATATAGTAAAAAGTATAATATATATTAAATATAATATATTTTAATATATATAATCGTGAAATATATTAATATAAAAGAGAAATCATGATATTTTTATTCAATAATATTATATATACGTATTATATTTTATAAAGAACTATTGTAATTATTCAATTATTTTGATACACAAACAAATGTATAATAAGCAATAAAACAAATAATTTAAAATATTTTAATGTCGTTATATTCCAGATTTACAATCAATGTTGTCAAAGAGAATATATTTTTTTGTAATTTGTACTGTAATTTTTTTTTCCGTGCAAAAACATATTAAACACTTACGTGCAGTAGAAAGTTGCAAAGCCAATAGCAATAAGCTAATTATTACTACAAATATCACAAATACTTTAGACACCATGATATCTCAACAATTCAGAGGTCTATGATATTCAATACTCAATAATATTCAATTTTCGACTGATTTTTAAAAGAGATACGTTTGAAGAAGATTCTTCAGAACTTCTGTAGAACTTCTGTAGAACTTCTTATATATACTTGCGTTATCTTGCGACCTTGTATGATATTGTATTTTTTCTCTTTTTATTTCTCTTTTCATGTATTAAGTCAATTATGCATGAACGATAAAGGCCTGCGTCATTCACGCGAATTCACTCTAATTCGTATCAATTTGCGGGCATTTAAGCAGAATATAATTGTTGACGAAGCAATACGCACAACTGTATGTACAATAAAATATGTATAATATTATTGCGTTATTCAAATTATTATGTAATTATTATGTACACTATGTATGCCTTATTTCACACATATGTATAAACACATTTCGAAATATGTACTTAAACTTACATCGAATTGACGCAATAAGAAATTTAATTTTTATAATGTTTGAAAAAACTGTCCAGATTTGTCACATATTGCATGTTGAAACAAAAATTAAATTTTCAAATTTAACAAGAAACTTTAATTACAATGTATTTTCTTGAAATTGTCAATATTAAGATTAATTTAAACATATATTTAATATGTATTTAATGTATGTAATATATATTTAACGAACTTATTTTAATTTGATAAATGAGTATACTCACAATCATATAACCACTAAATAAAATTTAACTGTGCACATTAGGATATAAATTATATTTTTAGTCATCATATGACTCATTGATTAATACAATTGATGTTGATTGCCTATTTTTATCTCTCTCTCCTTCTTTCTCTTTTTAGATATTCCATAAATTTCACATAAATTACGTATAACAGACAACTATGTTTAACAATATCCACATTACATCAAATTAAAAAAAAATTAATTTTTGCAAAACCTACATTTTTAACGCATTGAAATTTTATCGCGATAAAGTTTCTATGTAGAATATTGTATATTTCTATGAAATTATTAAAATATAGTTATTAGAATATTTTAGTAATTGTCAATAATAAATTTCTAAATATATTAATTAAAATAGCATTCTATGTTTTTTTAATCTCTTCTTTTATAATTTTTTTCTAATTAAATCCAAAAAAAAATTTTTGAACAATTATTTAAACACACGAGATTTTTATATTAAATTCTTCAAATGATTTAAAAGTGCATTAAAATCAAAAACAATAAGCATCAAATTTTAAGTGCTTTTAATACTTGAAGCCCTGCTTTTATATGCAAGTTTATCCTAGCATAAAAAAATAAAAATTTTCAATACTAAAGTATTACATCCAGTTATACTTTTATCATTAAGATATGTTTTCATTATCTGTTGCAGGCGAGAAGCCATATCAGTATACGTGGGAAGGTTGCACGTGGAAATTCGCACGATCGGACGAGCTGACGCGGCACTATCGCAAGCACACGGGCCAAAAGCCGTTCAAGTGCCATCTCTATCAGCGATCGTTCTCGCGAAGCGACCATTTGTCGCTTCACATGAAGAGGCACTGATGAAAAGGACCGTCCACAGAGTCGTGCGACGCGAGAGAAAACGCACGTTGATCGACGAGAAACGAAGGTGAGAAACGGTCCTCGACAATAGGCCAGTGATCTCGAGTGATCCTGGATGCGAGCGAGAGACGGACGATGATATTTCTTACATTTGGGACCTGAAGAGCCGCGTCGCGAGCCGGCCCGTCCCGAATTTCTCACGAAGACGGACCGGTCGATCGGACGGGCAGCAACTAGGAAAAGAGAAAATAGATTGACGAAGCAACAAATCGTTCATTAGGTTTAACGCTTAATCGCGAATTGAATAATCGCGATGCCGATCAACTTTGATCAGTTGGTTCTCTTGATGCTGTCTTTTGCGAATCTTTCGATGGATCTTTCCTTGCAGCTACAATAAATCGAGCCGATGTCTGAATTACGAGCGTTGAACGCAAGAGTAAGGTAATTGTTTTACAATTGTCGAGCTTTTATAAAAAGGCGCATCAATGATTTTTTGGATGCTTCAAGATTTTAAGGAAAGAAAGATCCGCTTGCGCGATTGAGATCGCAATCGAGGTCATAGATCGGCACGACAAGACGTATCGTTATTATATATAAGCGTGTATCTGTTCTCTTCTGTGTTTCTAGCTAATTTTTATTTGTTCTATTTTCCAGTTTGTTATATATATATATATATATATATATATATATATATATATATATACGTATGTATATATATATATATATATGTTTAAATAAGGCCAGCTCAACTAGTCTAGAGCACCATTTTATCGTATACATTACGACGAATAGAGCCAGTATATAAAAAGTTAATTAATTAATTAAGATAAGTAAATGGTTAGAATAAACTAAATGATATATCGAACTCCGGTGACGGAGCTTGGGACTTAGCATGCTCAGTTAAATAAACTACAATCGTGATCGTAGATATTACGTAAAAGCATTAATAGAGCAATTTTTCGATTATGCACAAAGAATTTCGCGTTTAGGGACGGACAATCATTAACTTTTCATTATATAGTAATGAAGTGAGATATAGAACGTCGGCATCCCAAAAGCCAGTATTATGAATGCGTAACAAGCAATATCATTATATATAATAGCATTATATATTACATATAATGCTTTTTTTAAATTTCATTTTAGTCGCAAAAAAAACAGCTTTTTCCAATCGTAAATCGTCAAATTTTAATTCCGCGTAAAGTGCCAAAGTAGAAGGTGCAATCATGAAATATCTAATTAATACTACTTCGTGCTTTATGAAAATAAAAGCATAATCGAGTAAATTATTCTTTTCTAACGCGCTTTGAGATTTTTGATCCTGAGACATAGACATATGAATGAACATATGAATAACAACAAATATTATTTCCCATTTTACGTGATGGCATCCTGATGGGAAACTCAATAGCTCAATAAATATTCGCAGAGTACCTATAAAAAGCAAATATATGCTCAAACGCTCTGTGTTATCTGTTGCAAGAATGATCTACTTTATCATGTATATTTATGACATCATTCTTTGCGTCTGATTACAAAATAACAATCGCATCAGGATGTTTGTGATGCATCGAATTGACGATTTCGGAATTGTTAATCTAAAAGTGTATAATTTAGACTCGTATTCCAAAAATAATAGTTGATTAATCATTTTAATTAATGTTGATTAATCTATAAAAATTTATTCGTACGATAATTGAAAGTTGAATATACATATATATTAAATATTTAAGTATATAAGAGAGAACAGAATGTTACTAGGGGATTAATTGAACTAGTTAATTAAAATTATCGTACAATATGTCATTAACGAAAATTAAGTTAATTATCACACAATGCAAGAAAAATCTATATGGTTCATTTCATATAACAAATACATATTAAGAAATATGAGATATATGCATATATTCTGTAAATGAAATATGATTTATTAATGCAATATTGAAAAGGAAAAAAATAGGAAATTTAATAT